TACTTGTTTAACAAAAGAAGGCCAGCAGTAGCCTTAATTCTCATAGGGATAAGTACAAACATGGGCCTTTCTGCATACCAATCCTACTAATACTTCTGTAGCAACTATAAAAATCAAGCGTTATCAAGTCTGAAAAGCAGACAGTGTCTGAAAAACATGCAGCTGCACTTTTAGAAAAGTGCAGTTACTTAGAAGAAACTTAACTGAAAGAAAAAAACTCCTGAAAGGAGAAATAGTCCTGTTTTAGCCACACCAGGCCAATTAGGAACCCAAATAAGCTGTAAAAATGCCCTGTTGAGTATATAGTTTCCCAAACACGTAGCAAGCAGCCAGTTATTGTGGAAGGCTGCAGCTGAAGCAATCGGAAGTTATCAGTAATAGAAGTGAATGCAAATGGCTATGTGTGTATGTCTGTCTGTCTCTCAGATGTGTTGTAGGGCATCCCATACATTATGGTCATTTTTAAGGACACAGTTTGGAAAATAAGTTTTAACTTTTCACTATTCAACTGGTAACACCTCGTATCCAAACATACTTTGCCCTGAAAGGGTTCTTTATAGATAATGTCAATATACTGTTTATAACGATCAGTCACTCACCCCTGAAACACATTCACCTTTGATTGTGACAGAAAACTTTCACCTTGCTGTGTTTAAAAAGGAAAGCAGAGAGCAACTCTTTCAAGTGAAACTATCTAAAGGAGATTTGGTAGTTAATTAACAAGTTAAAAATCAGAAGTTATTAGCGCAGTAGGGTTGTCAAAATCCTGACTTCATCCAGCAGGATAAAGATTTGATCTCTGGATATTAGTAACACAAGAGATTATTAAAATTGTGCATTGCTGGATTTGTATATGTATGCTTCAAATTATACTGCTTTTAATCCTGAATATGTGCAGTGTTTTTAATGAAAGAAAACATGGCATAATGTGGAGTTTAATTTAATTGTAGGTAAAGTGTTCATGACAAGGAAGTGGAAATTCTTTTTTAAGTATTACGACTTGACTTCTGCAGTCCATTATATATTGTTATGTACTGTCTGGGAGAACAGATACAGCCTCAGGGCTTTGCAGTTGTTCACAGTATCAGCTATAAACACATGAAAGGCAGAACTGTTGGGTGGGGAAAGAACAGTTGTTTCTGAAACTTTCCATGCAGTTGCAATATTCTGTTTTGCATTTCTTCCAAAGAACTGGACTTGATTTTAATCTTTACAGAAACATTATATGGGTTCCCATTATTAGTATCTGTAAAGGACACATTTAGAAGCATTGTAAAAGGAAAAGATTTTATATCTTGCTAATCTTTTAATCTCAAAACAAAGACATAAAATGTGAATATCTGTAAATACCTTGCCAGACTAAGCTGACAGCATTTTTCAAGTTACTATGGTGCCACTTCCCACATAATACTGTACGTACTTATTATAATCAAAGCTAATTGGTAACTTTCCGGCACAATATTTTCCTGTTGGAGGTTGACAATTTGTCAGGCACATTCTTGCTTCTGCAAACTTAGTTTATAAACAACAAAGCTCATAATTTTGATTTAGTCAAAAGAAATTGCTTTACCTTTCTTAGAATGCAAGTTTCTATTTCTTTATTTTGAAAGTCAAAGTTTTAATATATCATAAAGTTTTAGAAAAGTTGAGATCAAAATGATTAAAAATAAATAGTGTTGTCAGATATTTTTAAAAAGCTTGGTTTGTTCCAACTCCGAGTGAAAATAAATTGTAGAACAGCATATTTCTACATAACACTGACTTTCTAGATACTACTATAGATCTTGCTATCCTTCCTTTGGGGTTACTTCTGTATAACAAAACTTTCAAAAAAAGTCAGTTTCTCTGATACATGTTTCTTACCAGGGAGAAAAATATGAATCTCCATCATTTCTGTAGGATGTGCTCTCATGTGCATCGACTGTCTGTAAACGTTCCTCACATGGTAGTTTGTATCATGAGGTAATCATATCAAAGGAATAAGCATGACAGCTTCTGTTTCAGTGTTAAAGAACAGCATTTCTTTGTTATTCTGAATCATCATACATATCCCAATTTAAAATACTTTCTTGCCCACTACCTCCAAAAGGTTGGTTTGACAGCCTCGTACGTATCCAACATACATTATTTTAGCTACTGAATGGGATAAAGAACTAATCGTCTAAATTGTTACCCAAGAAAAATACTTTTCTCCCATTTGCAGCTTGCATGTATCTCTGAATTCCATAGGAACACATGATGCAGTCCAACCTAATAGCAATATTTCAGTTTTTCTCAGAACCTGTTTCAGCAAAGGATGTGCATACCCACAGGAATCACTGGATTTTTGACAGCTGCTTTAAGTTCAGCATAGTATTATGTCCTTTGTCAAACTGGGGGTTAGCAAGATGGATCTGTTATTTATTCCTCTACACTGACTGTAACTATCCTTGGTTTAGTAGTTTCAGAATGGATTATTTAGTGTTCTTTGGTAAAAATCAAAACATGAAGACTACTTGGAAGCTGCCACTGCACACCACCATAACATCCTACTGCATCTTCATTCTTTCATTGCCTGTACTTGCTGAGATGCCCTGGCTTCTGGCTTATTTCCATGTGCAGTTCGAGGTGCTGGTTTTGACCAAAAAAACTCTTAGCAGTTGGGTTTCTTCTGGATTCCTCTAAAAAACAAACAAAACAAAACAAAACAAAAAACTGTTAAATGGGAAGATCTTGAAGGGAACGTCTTTTAAGTGAAAAGCCCTCAACTTATAACTTGCTTCCCCTGAGCACTCATTCAGTTACTTGGAATATTTAATTTGTCATTTGTTTGTCAGGCCTTCACATGGCTGCTGGACTAAAGAAGAGAAGTTTTGCATCTCACTGGATAGAAAGGATAGGTGATCTAATGTTTTGAATGCGTTTTTTAATTATTCCTGCATACACTCACATCATAGGATGAAAAGCCACTATATAGCAAAATGCAGGAGTTGTTAAAAAATTAAACCAGAAAATAATAGGTGAGAGCATGTCTGAAGTATATCCAGGATAATCCAAGTTTTATTTGCAAGAAAAACACTGGGTCGATGCACACACAGAAGGATATAATAACCTATGTTTATTGTCGGTTTATGTTAAAGTGTGGGAGAAATACCACTGGGATCTTTTGGTCTGTGATACTGAAAGGAGTAAGAGGTGATTTATTTGTATATTTTGGACAGCCTATAATGATGATGAAGAGGATGATGATGATAAAAGAAAACAGCAAGGTAGCACTGACAGTAGGACAGAGGAGGAAAGGGTAGGCTCTTGCTCAAGGTTCATATTACTAAGAAACGACTGGACAGTAATAGAGGTCTGTTCAAGAGCTTTCTGTCTCAGAGTCTAAAATGCCTGTTTTTAAATCTCTTCTTAGAAAACTTCATTGTACGCGAAACTACATCCATCTGAACCTGTTCCTCTCTTTCATTCTAAGAGCAATCTCTGTTTTAGTCAAGGATGATATTCTCTATTCCAGCTCCAACACAGCTCACTGTCCAGAGGATCAAACCTCATGGGTAATAAACCTCACTTGCTACCTGATATAATACTGTTGTGTCACTAAATTTTCCTCTCTGATCCTTTTAAATATTTAGGAATACGAAGCTGTCAGTGTAGATGGTTCTGTAGATAATATGATGACTAGCAAAATGGTCTATTAGAACTAGCCAGAGAAAGAAGGTTGCAGCACAAGTAAGAGAAGATAATGTTGGTTTGCATGTCCATGCAAGGACAACATGTCATCTGCCGAAACAAATAATGACCAGCTATAGCTCAGAATAAATACAGCCACTGCATTAATCAGCTGGGAGAGTTTAAGACAAACAGAGGAGTGCCATCAGCTGGGAACAATTAAAGGCAGCTCATCTGGAAGTGTTCCAGTGGCTTTATCAGGGGTCCAGGAATTGGACAGGTATCAATGAAGGGAGAGAAATGAGTCAGGGAATTAAATATTTACAGAAGTTGTCTTTATTAACTCCTGTATTTTCTGGCTATGACAGAAGTGTTGTAATCTGCATTCTTGGCAAGCTAGTATGTTTACTGCATTTTCATGCACGGGGATTAAAAAAGTCTCAAGTCTTGCTGTCGAAAGACTTGCCACTTTATGATATTCCCCACTCTCTGCCTGCATTGTTTCAATCAACAGTGCTCCAGAAGAGCTCTACAAATATTGCTGAATACCTTCTGAATTTAATTTACTACAGTTTAAGCTTTTGAGAAGAAAATGGAAGATTTTTTTATATTGATGAAGCCATATTGTCCCAAAGCATAAAGTTTTTAGCAGTGACTGCCAAGCTGTATGTATGAATTCATAATCTGGGATGTTTCTAATGAAGACAAATAGGCTCTAAGTGAGTAGACCCAAAGTAGGCAAAGTAGTAGGCAGGCTGCCAAGGGTAATCAAAAGTTCTTAGGTCCTTGAAAGATTAGTCAATGGACTCTCAAAATACTACTTGATTTCTGCAATTTCTTTTATCCTCCAGTTATTCTTGGCTGTAGAGCCTCATATTTTCCTATATGAATATGTCCAGTTTTGCGGACTGTTCAGTAATTTCTGTTGCATTATGTGTAGGATGATCTGGCACCAGCTTGGCAAGGCTGTTTTGTCTTGCATTGGCTGGATGCTATCTTTCTTAAGTAACAGCATGCAGGGTTTGCCCCTTTTGTCACATGTTTGCCACGTTCCACAGTTCTGCTGCACACACAGATGTCTAAAAGCACACAATTCAAAATGCAATGTAACTAGGTCCTGGATCTAAATGACACAGAGCCATAATTTTGGCTAACTCTTTACTGACAGATACTTTTGCTGTTCAGCATCTGGAAATACACCTGATACAGGATTAGGTGCAAGAGGAAGGGAAAATATTTTGATGCAAGCTTCTGGTATGTAAATTGAGAATATAATACAGGAGAGTATTGGAATTTAAAAGAGATTACAAAAATTTTAGACTTTGCTAATCTGACTGAAGGTAGTCATAAACTTAAAAGCAAACTTCAGCTTGCATTTTGAAATGTTTAATTTTCTCCATGTTAAATTTTCTGGCCCATTACTAGTCTGCAATGGATATCCCTTTAGTGGATACAAAGTCTAGCGGTAAGATTAGTCTTACCAAATGAGATGACTGAACTAAGCTGTTTCTCTGAGCTTCTGTCTTTCTCACTGGACAGTTTATCTCGTCTGGTTTAACAGTCTCTGGACATGCCTGTCTCTCTTCATGAGCTGTATAAGGAGCTAGCTGGTGCGTAGGTGGCTAGCTTTCACCAGAAACTTTGCTTGTAGCAGCTAAATTAGGTGAAATGAATTCAAGCCTTTGGACTCTTACTTAGTTGTCTATATAGGCACGTACACAGGCATAAATACAGGCGTGTATGTTGCTTGGGTTGCACAGAGATATCTGAGACACTACAAGGGGCTGATGGGTACAAAGAAGTATCTCTAGGAGGTCTACACCCTTCTGGCTTAGCAGCTGGTGACTGGGGTCCCTGAGAGCATCTCACTTCATAGTAGACACCTATGTTTAGACAGAGGAATCAGTCACTAAATGAGTAAGTTACCTACTTAGGTATTTGATGTACTTGAAATTTTAACAGAAACAGGGGAGGTATGAAGGGTATTTAAAATGGGGAAGGGAGTAAAGCAGGCAGAAACTAGAAGTTTTATTTAGTCTATTTTGTTTAGTCTATTACATTCACTGTATCATCACATTTCTCAGCTCAGACTCAGCAGAAACATTTTTGTGTTCAGTTCTTGCATCCCAGATTCCTGCTGGGAAGTACCAAAGTAGCAGCAGCCAGCACTGTGGAACATCGGCAACACAGACATCTGAAAATTAATTCTGAAGAGCAACACACAGACTATAAGTATATTGGGACTTCATTTTATGATACATGCTTATGTGTTTTGTTAATTAAGAAACACTAAAGCATTTTCTAAAGGGAAAACATAATTTTTAAAAATCCAGTCAACTTTTTCTTCTAAGTCTACTTGGGGTATTCGTTATGTAAAGTTATATTTTTCACTCAGTTTCCCATTTAGCCTTGAAAAATTCATAAAGCAGTTTCTTTGTTAATTTTTACGATGTTAGGAAGCTAGCTGGGATTTTAATGTATTTATTAGCCACCTAATAGATGATCATTTGATCTGGCCATTCATTAACTTACTATTGCGAATGTATGCATTTATTGATAACCACCACCTTTTACAATATTTATGCTATGAAATTTTCAAAATTTCTGAGCAAATTTGCTATGAGAGCCATCTAAATAATTTTTTTATAGTTTTACATATACAGTAACATTTACAATGTCTCAATTTGCTTGACTGAAGAAAAAAAATTTCTACTGGATCTGGATTACTAGTATTACACGGAGAGTTAAGACCTGTAGGGTATATTAATAACGGAATAATACAGCATCTTTCCTGCAACAACTTTGATCCCTATTCTCATATTTCAGGTGGGCTGCAAGGCTATTTTGGTGTTTTTTCAGTATGGTGTTATGGCAAACTTTTACTGGCTCTTAGTTGAAGGACTTTACCTCCATATCCTCCTTGTGCTAATATTCTCTCCCAACAGACACTTCACTATCTACCTGCTGATTGGATGGGGTAAGAACTTAAAACACCTTCCAATAACGTTCTTTTTTCTGTGTGTATGTATTAGTCAGGTTCAATATTTCATACCAAGGTAGTCTGTTGGGTGACGACTTAGACTCACCAGTTCCTCAGTTCAGCTCCAGCATAGGTTACAGCCCCTGTACCATGCAGACAGCAGGCACAAAACTGCTGAAGCAGAACTGGTAGCTTGCTCCTTGGCATGGCTCTGACCTGTGCCAATCTACACAGTGCCCAGGGGTGGTTCAGGATATCAGATGGTGCAAGGACTGCTGCTGCAAAGCATATGATTCAGGCTGTCCTAATCTGGGAGGAAAAAGAAAGTTTAGCAGCACAGCCACAGGCGATGCTATGCTATTTGCCTTTTTGAAAAGCCCAATAATATTGTCCATCTGGTTTTAAATACATATGTTCTTTTCATTTCCAGAAAGTGCAATGGTATTTATACGGAGCACTTTAAAGCTTCCTTTAATAGGTAGTCATAAAACATTTAGGTATTGCTGGGAAATGGGAATAAACCAGTGTGTGGAAATGGTTCCTTATGAAATGATTTACACTTTGGTTTTATATTGTAGTCCTTAGAAGTGCATTGGGAGTGCATAGCTTGTATGTGTCTCCCTGTAGGTCACTCTGATAACTTGAAAGAAACCTAAGAAAGGCATGTTCTTTGTGTATTAGTCATTATCACTACATTTTTATAAGAAATAAACCCACTTCCCTGTAGTCTTTGTTTGTGATACATTGCTTACATCACATAGCTCATTAGATGGGCCTCTCCCTCCATTCAGTAAACTGTTTACAATATGCTGTATGTTTGGGGAATAATTGGTTACTAATAGGCTGAACTTTTTTTTTGTGGACTTAATGTTTTTGTGATCATCCTCTAAACATCTTTGGATTTTTCAGGAATTCCTACCATATTCATTATTACATGGACAGTGACACGGATCATTTTAGAGGACACTGGGTAAGTGTGTGGGGGAGAGAAAGCTTAAAGCTTCCAACTGTGCCCATACAACCCTTGGCCTTGGATATGGTGGTGTTCACACAAAGGTAGTTTACTCTTCTGAAGGGGATGAGGACAGAACTGAAATTTCAGATATGGCAATAAAGGGAGAGGTGTTATGGAGCTCTTCAGCATGCTGTTTATGCTTACTGTTTATTTGAAAAACTCTAAGAGCAGGAGAGGGCAGAGATAGGTTATGACTAACATTATCCCTTGAGACCCACGTTTAGCACTACCTGCTTTGAAAGTCAAAATAATACTTAAACCAGCAGTGGGGGTCCTTGGGTTCAGTGCTGCAATACAGTGCAGTAAGATGCTGGGTGTTTAATTTCCTAACTATCAACTCAAAAGATTGAAATCTAGGTAACTTTGGGTATATCTGAATTACATTTCCAGAAGTGAAGCCACATGATGTAAGCGTAGCTGAGATGCACATAGACAGGTAAAACTATGACTGACTAGAGCTAGGCCTGGCTCCTGGCACAGGAAGGGGAACTGAGATAACAATTCTGTAGGAAAATCAGACTTCCTGCTCCCTGCTGGCCCCAAGGAATGGGAGAGCATTCCTAGCTAGTGGGACAAATAGTTTTCACACTCCTTTTTTTCAACCTGACTAATATTTTTCAGTTGATCCTGGAATTAAACTTAGAAATCATGTCCTACATGATTTCTAAGTTTTCTTTGCAAGACCTCTAACATGTAAACCGAAGGCTGACTCCTTTTTCGTTTGTCATTATGAGCACAGTTAGAGGAACTCTGAAGGGTATTGCCCTTGCTTAGGATTAATCATTCGGAGTACTTATTCTAGAGTATTTGGACCAAAAGTGCTGAGCCCACAGCAAAAATTAAATTCTCAGTTTTTCAGACAAAGTTCCAGGTTCAGTCTCACATTTTCCTAAACTGGTTCCAACCATCTGTAACCTAATTATCCCACAAGGAATTATGAATTATGTAGTTTCAATTGTATCTATCAGTTGCTTTAGATCTTCCTGCTACCCAGAGGCTGGTGTTAAGTGCTTATTGGAAAAGTGTCCTTATACAGAAAGTGAAACTAAGTTTGGTGTCCCTAAAACCAGTCTGATGTTTTAGCTGATTTGAATATGCTTATTAAAACCAGGGAAATAAAATTAAAAGCGGAAAAAGATTGAGTGCCAAATTCTAGGCTAGAATGGGCATTATTTTAGTGTGCTTTGACTTGTATATTCTCCTCCTAGGTCTTGCTTGCCAGATGATATTAATGTCAACATAATTTTCCCTCTGTTTTTTTTATAGTTGCTGGGATACAAATGAGCATGGTGGTCCCTGGTGGGTTATACGAATACCAATTTTAATTTCTATTATAGTAAGTAAACTTTGAAGCATGAATTATAGATCAGTTCAGCATTGTGCAGTGCATGTAGCTGTTATTCTTTACTGCTAGTTACAGATAGGCAAGAATTCTGTTTTAATGAAAAGAAATTGCGCTGTAGGAGAAATGTTAAACAGATGCCAAGGCCATTAAAATTTGTTGCCTTCAGAATTTATCTGCCTCCTATTAAATGAGTGGTTGCTTTTATTTGTATGTTGTTCTTTAACATCTCTCCTGTTTATGAGTCTGGGGGAAGCAGAAACCTAATTATACTTTTCAATGAATTGCAGATTTGATTTTGCATGTAAATAGATAGCCCTGCAATTGAGAGTCTGATATTATTGCAGCCATAAAAAACTATGGCTGTGTATATCTTTCTTTAATTGGTAGTCTACTGAAATATATATTGAACATAAAGTATTTGCAAAAGTATAGCATTTGAGAATGTTTCATGGGGCTTTTCCTATGTGGAACTCATTAGAATTACTGGAGTAGCATAATAAAATTCCTGTTCACTGTGATGATTGTGTAATTAACTTTGGGCATAATATACTATGGTTATATGTCCATTTCTGAAAACAGTCACAGTGCACATTAATACATTTCAGATAAACTTGCTTTATTTTTAACGTTTAGTTAGAAAACTTAGGGCATTAGTAGATTACACAAGGTTTCAAGAGTCCACATCATGCTTGGGCTTGCCTTTGAATCTGTGCCTGCTGAAAATAATTTTGAGACAACTTCCTATCATCATCAGAGTGAATTCTACAGCGTTTAAAGAGAAAGCAGAGTAGGCATGTGTGAAACGACATAAGGACACAAGGACTCACAGAAGAGATGTTTCATGATACGAAGAAATGGACATGCAACAGAACTATAGCATGAAGAGAATGCATGTATCTCAAAGGAGCTGGAGAATGGGAGATGGTCCAGAATGAAGAAAATATGCTGAAAGATGAAAGTAAAACAAACCACCTGGTGTTTGCAGAAAGATGAAAGTCTGTTCTCTGGGTGTTCAATTTAAACAGCTGTTGTAGACAGCTGAGACTTCACGTGCCAAAAAGCAGTGCTTCTCCAAAGAAGTCCTAGACCTCGAAATGGAAGTTACCCAAGTGCTCATTGGCAGACTTGAATTGCAGCTGGATCTTAGGAAAGCTGGGAAATAGGTGTGAGTTAAGAAAATGGAGTACTGGTCAGTCAGCAAAAGTCCAGTATATCATAAAACATGGACCAGAATCATTGTTTGAGGCAAAGGAATAGTCGTACTCCTTTAATTTTTTTAACTGTTCTGTTACTGTTTTGATATAAAGTTATTGTAAGACATAGGGAGACATTTTGCAAATGACCTTTTTTGGCTTGCCGGGTGCACACGTTTAGGATCTACTGTCTCCTTCCAGATATGTTTCTTCTTTTAAACAACATGTTTTAGGGTTGAGAGCAACTAAAGATGGCCAAGTGATTCTGCAGGGTGTACCATGTGAAGCCACTTACTTCTCAGATTAGATGATTCTTCAGCTGTTTCATCAACTACATTTTGCATTTGGAAAGTTAGAATCATAGAATCATAGAATTGTTATGGTTGGAAGAGACCTCAAAGATCCAAGACCTCAAGTCCAAGCTTCTACCCAACGCCACCTTGCCCACTAACTGTTAAGCTGTGAAAGGGAGTTGTCGAAGCAGTGACACTCACCCTTTCCTGCTGGATAAGTAACGTATTTTGTTGGAGTATCGAACTACAACCAGCATGTTTATTGTGGCAGCGAGGATGCTATGCAAACTTCCTGCTGTGTGAAACAGAGCGTGCATTCATAGAGCAAGAGGAGCTAATGAAATGTCACGTAATTGATCATTGATGAGTGAAAAACACTACATTCATGAGAATGTAATTTTCAATATACACACACCATGATAAGCCTCAACTTTTCCTGTTACCTTCTAGAAAAAATAGAAGTTGAAGATTCAAATCTTTGAGTAATGAGGTCAGTGCTGCTGCCATTCAACAATGAAAACAGATCATTGCAAGTTCTTTGGATAGGTGTTGTGAAAGCGTCATGATGTTTCTCAATAGAAGTACCATGTACTTAACATCATACTCACACAGTGCCTTCAGTCTGCTTGAGAATGTAGGAAGACAGAGAATGGTGAGAAGGATGACCAGCAGTAACAAATGGCTTCAGTAGTAGGAAAGACATCTGTGTAAGTACTCAATGAGCTGAACATAGGAAAACTCTGAAAGATGAATTTCAGAAAAATAAAGGAGAGCAGAACACCTAAGCTGAGAACTCTCATTAACTGTCTTATGTAATGGCATGAAAGAAAGCTCAGAGTATGGCCTATTGAAAATCTTTAAGAGGAGGAAGAAGAGTGAAGAAAAGAAGAGTAGAATAAATCTGATTGGGAGGATGATGCCGTGAATTTACTTTTGAAAGACAGAGGAAATCAAGCAAAGGTTTTAAGGAACAATGATTTAGACACATTAGATTTAACAGGAAGTCGACTCAGTCTTCATGTCATATTCACTCTCTTCTATCAATTTCTGTGTTAAAACTCCAGACATTTTCACTGCTTAGAAAACTCTACTTTCTATAAGGTTATTATCCAACAGTAAACAGTATTGTGAGAGCAAGTTCTGAAGTCACTTTCTTAAAGTGGGAATGGCTTTGGTTAATTCAGTGTGTCAGAAACCTTCCTTGGCACCTCCTCCTGACAATTTTGGCTTGAGAGAAGTTATTAGGCAGGCTTCCATGCTTCATGCTGTACACATTTCAGAGTTATTTAATTGGGGGTGACTATTCCAAACAGTTAACGTGGTGTTACCCATATTCTCCATGTAGCAAATGCCTCCACAGCTGCCTTCTCCATACTGCCACTTGCATAAAGTGCTCTCATTTGGGAAGGAGTGGTGGCAACAGTACTTCTGTCACATCAAAGTAACTGAGAAATGTTTATCTTGTTATCTCACATTGCCAGTAATGTAAGGGACTAAATAGCAAGAAAGAAGCAACATGAAGACAGTTTAAATGACACATACTCAGGCAATGTGTTTAGACTCAAAAACTTACTGTTAGAAGAAGTTAATCAGTAGAAAAGGGTACCAGCAGCATCTTGCTGTTACTTCACTGAAGAGGCATCATTTGTCATCACTCTCTTGCAGTTTCTCTACATTCACATTATTTTCTCATTTCCCTGTTATTAGGTGTTCATTGAACAGTATACATATTCTATTTTATTTAAAGACATTACGCTCAAATGATTTTATGGGACTGAAAGCTACAAGACTAAAAGTAAAATTCCTGGGCATTATTTGTTTCCTATTTTGTTGAAACTTAGTATTCTAAATCAGACATATACTTTAAAGGCATTTAGCCAATGATCAATTCAATAATAATCTTAGAGAAATTAATTAGCTCCACTGTAGTAAGTCAGTGGCAGTTGCCGCCTTTAGATCTTAATACCCAGTTTCAGCTGGCTGGATTTACAAGCTCAGTAGTGCCAAGAACTGTTACAAACTCCAAACGAGAACATATGTTTTTCATTAATCCAAGATTGTGCTTACAAACAGAAAGGTATGTGTTTCAAAACAGACTTACAAGTAATACATGAATATCAGTCAAGAATGTGTCACCTGACTGTAGTTTTGCAGATTATTTGGTCTACAGAAACCAAATAGATGACAGTTTATTCTGTTACAGTAGAAACTAGGGATGCCTGTGAAGAACAAGAAGTTATTCTGCCAATCACTTTGCAAATGCAGAATAAAGATTTTTCCTTCTCCTCTTTTGTGGCTAAAAAATATGCAATGAAATGGAAGCTCTCTCCTTGGCCACCAATACTGGCTCCAGAGATTTTGGAAGGAGGGCACTTCTGACAACTGGGGCTTTCTAAGACTTTTGCCAACCAGACTAGAACTGGTGGCCATGCAGAGGTGCACTGGACGTAACAACCCTAGTGAGGCAGAAAACAGGCAATAGGACTGACAGTGTAGAGCTTGATGTGTTCTGGCAGGACGTACACAACACCCACTGCTGAGTTGATTTGCCTGACTTGATAAGCATTTCTTTGTGCAGCGTATTGAGTGGAGAAGTCAGAAATCACCATTACATTTGTTTTCTTTGCAGGTGAATTTTATACTTTTCATTAGTATTATAAGAATCTTACTGCAGAAGTTAAGATCTCCAGATGTTGGAGGAAATGACCAGTCACAGTACAAGTAAGTCATGTTTTTAGATATTATATACAGAACTAAAATAATCTCAGTAGGATTTCCTTTGCTGAAACATGCTACCAACAATTGCTGTGATACTATAATTACATTTAGTTCAGAAGTGGTTTAATAGATCGCTTAGATGTGGTTTAATAAAGATCTTATCACTATGCTGAAATAGAGATGAACATAATATTTTTTGTCAAACACTAGATTCAATAAAAAATATGCAGTTTCATAAACACCATCAAGCTATTCTTGAATTTGAGTTTAATCCATGAATGAATATGCTGATACAACAAATACAAAGAGTAATATCTTTCTTTTAATGTATAAATATTTCATTTTGACATAACAAAAGTTTCAAGATCAAAACACTTTGCTTCAACCTCCTTAAAAACATTTTTTAAAAAAATTTTGTTTCTAAAATACTTTTTGTTGTGATATTTACATGTATTTTAAGAGCTGGAAAGAAGTTATGTTGTTCCCAAAAAGTAAAAAAATGGAATATAATGTTTTATGTTGATTTAAAATAGCATCTTTATTATTCTAGAGGAAAATGAGTGTTTCTGATTTAGTTCAACTTCATTTCTGTTTAGGCTTTCTTCTTTTGTGTTTTGGTTTGAACACCAAGTCCTAACATCCATTGTTTCCACGGTTTTATGATCAAGAAATGCTGGGGGGCAATTTAAATACATTGCTAAAGTTGGATTTGTTCTTTGTTATATTGCCATATCAGTTATTGTTGTTTATTATAATAGCTGCTGGATACTGTAATCCAGAATCAAGAGTCTGTTGTAGTAGGTCTTATTTTAAAGCCCAGATAGAGGCACTGAGTTTGACACTTCATGATGTTAATACGATACTTCAATGACAAAACCTAATGTGAACACTGAAAATTCAAAACCATGCAAGTGACCTTGAAAATGTGCTCCTGGATAACACCGTTTCTTCATTTAAAAAATACTGAATTCCTGTCCTAAAAACAGATGAAACATGGTGTGCTAAAGTAAAGCATGTCTTTAAAATCGAGAGAACTAGGACCTTATGTGTTTTGTAAACAATGTGACACATTTGATGCAAAAAGTGAAGAATTCTGATGCATCATGGAAAAGGTGACATGACTAGATTGACATAAGGCTTTACTTCATAGAGCTACAAGGTCCTTTTTTGTGTTTGCTGCTTGAATTAACTAAGTATGTGAGAGAACCAAATCAACCTAGATGAAATTATGCAGCTGACACATTGTTATTTAGCAAAATGACCGACCTATGGGCAGGAAATCACCTCAAGTTTACTTCTTGTGACAGGAACTTTTCTTTGTTTCCGTGTGGTATTTATGTATTTTATGAAAACGAGCCATTCCGTTCCTATCAGTCCCATCATTTTCCACAGTTTACGGTAGCACATCATAGTATAAAATGTTCATTAATAGCAACCTTGTCCTTCATTATTCAGCCCTGTGAATTCTTTGCTTTTAGCGTTTGATTGCCTGATTACGTTTGGATTGAATGGTCTTTAGCTGATACCCATGGGAACAGTAGATTAACCTCCTCAAGAAATACTGCACCTGCAGAGCAAATTAAAGGTCTGGAAGGCTCGTTTTTCAAAATGCAAATGCATTTTCTAAAATACAGAGAAGAATAAGGCTATTTTATCTGCCCCTTTCCTTCACTAAAGTGTAAGTGCAGTATAGAGAAGGTAACATCAGCTGGAGAAAAATTCTTAAAACAAGAATGGAGTGACAGAGAAATATGAGTCTAAAATGAATACTACTCATGCAAGTCACCATTTTTCTTCCCTTCCTCTGTCCCACTTGCTTGTACCTGGTTCCATCCTTTTTGTTGCTGATTTTGTTTTTGCAGTGGGTAAGATTAAGTTCAAATAAAATCAGTTTTCCTTTTCACTTGGGAAACCAGGAAATTTGCTGCCATTGTCATCTCCTCCAGTTGTAAATGAATTTCTTCTGCTAAGGAAATTCTATTTGTCCGGCTTACTGGTATCACCTTTAGATGTGAAGGTTTTGCTATTCTTGAGAAACTTTGCTGTCGGAACTGATTATTTCCGTATAAACAGATGCAGCCTCTGGGACATTATGAACAAAGGAAGGCCATGAAGACTGACACAGAAAAAATAAAACTGCTTGAAGTACCTTGACTTTTCTGTTAAAATAGGTGAATTCCCAACAGCATCCTTTCATTGTTGAATCAAGTTATACTCATCAAGACAGTCATGAATTATGGGACTCAACATAATGACTTCTTGAATTTTATCTGATACCAGACATCCATAATCATGCATGACTGGCCCTGTATGATATATAAAACTGATGTTAGTAGAGTGAAAAAAGTGACAGATAAGAGGTAACTAGTAATTCATCATTTCAGTGGTTTCACAGGCAGTTTGTCAGAGCTGCTTTGCTTAATACTTTGAAGATCTCCTTCCTTAACTTCAGTAGTGTCTTGTGTGAAAATGTGTTATGTAATTGACAACATTAAAAATTAGTTAATGATATATGCTTAATACCATGAGTATAGTTAAGAGATTTTAGTATTTGGGGGTAAATCTGAATTTGCTTATGAAAATTAACATCAATTAATTTCAAAAGGGAGGTTTTACCTTCCACGCAAGTGGATCTGTCTGTATGACTTTGCAGGAAGGCATGATTCCTTTCCACTCTGAACCCTTAATGCTGGGTAAAAAATACATTGAGAGATCTGATGGTAGCTCACGACACCTTGTCGAATGTGGTCCTGTGGAATCATGCAGTCAAACCCCATCCTCAAAAACAGTGCCATGAAATCAGGCTGGGAACTGGGGATGTATGTCAAAGGGACAGAGCAGATGGCAGGTCCTACACCCTGCTGCTCTCCAGAGGGCAACTGAAAAAGGGTCTTTTGGTTCAGAGAGGCCCTGCAGCCTTTTACCAGCTTTTGGAAGAGCGCAAAGTCACCAAGATCAAGTATAACGTGGAATTGCAGACGTTAATTTCTAAGGTTACTATGTGGCTAATCTCATAGCAAGACTGAAAGGAAAACAATTTGCAATAAATGACTTTTAGTAAGACTTTATAAATCTGAAGTCATACGAGTTTTATATAAACAACATTGCATCAGGTTCTTAGCTTAGTAAGCAAGAGCTTATCATTGAACTCCAGCTTTTTCTCTTTTATTTACCCAGGAGACTTGCAAAATCCACGTTGTTGCTTATTCCGTTATTTGGAGTTCACTACACAGTGTTTGCTCTGTTTCCTGACCGCAGTTCCAATAATTATAAAATAATCTTTGAGTTGTGTTTGGGATCTTTTCAGGTAAATTTTAAAGTTTTTATTCAAAAGAAGTTTTATTGACCTAGGTTGGTGCTGCCTACTAACTAAGGAATATTATCTCTTCCCAGGGGTTGATTGTTGCAGTCCTGTATTGTTTTTTGAACAGTGAAGTAAGTCTCACCTTCCCTGCTGAGGATGTTAAATATTGTTTTCAGTAAATATATAAGTGCCTCTATAATTCCACTCTGGTATATGAAGTTGTTTTAGAACATGTTTGCATTCCTATTTGTAGAACATGTATGTGGCAGTTTCTATGCAACAGGAGAAATTAGTGATTTGGGGGAAGAGTTAAGAGTTGTTTGAAATCTAATTCCTTGCAAACCAAGGTGTTAGTAAGTGTGCCTTCTGTTGTGATGTGTCTTAATGTGATCTAATTCTAGCTTTGTTACAAGCAATGGGGATTGTGCAAGTGAGGTGCAACAAGTCTAGAAATTTATCCAAAACTTGAAACACCATTTAGTAAGTATTTAAGGGTAATCTTCTGACAGAATCTAACCCCTAGAACAGCAGCAGATTTTCAGAAGTGCTTGGCATGTAGCAGCTTTCCTAATTCAACTGAGGAAGATTCAAGGAATTCCTTGTGATGTCAGCCACTTTTTAAGGTAGAATATACATTAAACAGCATGCAGTGTCTGACAGGAGCAATCTGTCTGAAGAAGATGCCTGCTTGCACAGGGAATTGACATTCAGGTTTTCTGCATGGTATTCATAGAATCATAGAATCATAGAATTGTTTAGATTGAAAAGGACCTTTAAGA